CCCCAAAACCCCAAAACCCCGTTATGTGAAAAATTGATATTATTTGCGTTAAGTAAGTAATAATCTTAAAATAATTAATTTTATTCTAATTCAAGTATTTATCACTAATGGAACTAATACTAATACTAATATAATAATTTAATCACCTAGCAGTTATTCATCAAAATTATTTCTTTTGAACTTAGATTTACTTTTGTTACTTTTAAATCCTAGTATTTTGCTAAGCTCATATCTATTTCTAATTAATATGCTAAAGATTATTCTCATGAACCTTTTTCAGATATTTCTGATTAATGTCCAGAAATGTCTAAGGTAGGTTTTCATCTAGGGTATCCTCACTAATTTCAAATTCTTCCCTAATCATGAAGCTAAATTATTCTTCTTCTTTTTAAATCAAATTGCTAGGAATTTCCTATTCTTATTCAAATTCTCTTTAATTAATCTTGACAATATTAATTTCATGAGCAGAACTGTTTCTCAAATCAGTCATATTAATTCTTTTTACTTTTTATTTTTTATGATTTATTTTTTGACTCTATCGATAGACCTATTTTCGATTTTGAGAGATCTACTATAATGTATTTCTGTCGTTAAGAGATTACTTAAAATTATCACTATTATCTTACTGTGATCTTGGATTACTTGATCTATTTCTTTTCTATAATAATAAGGTAGCTATTTATTCTTGATTTTTTGCTAATTAATGAAATGATTGTAGTGATTTTTGTGCTAAGGATGCTTATCTAATGTTTTTGTCTTCAAATGTTTATAATTAAGGTTCTATATATTAAACATATTAGATATGAACTTATCATTACTTAATGAAGATATTTGAGCTGAAAGTTCCGAGAAAGAATTCATATTTCCATGATCAAGTTACGTTGAGAAATTTGTTTGATTTTTGTTCTAGAAAGTATTAATCTCTTTTTTTTAACTTTAAGCTCTCTACTTTTAATTTTTTAGTGAGTAGGTGAAGGGGTCATATAGTTATGACAGTTATCTTGTTTAATTTATAGATTATTTATTCTCTAATGCTTAATTCCCACTTCTACATGAACTCTAATCCATTACTTTTTTCATATTTTAGGTGAAGGGATTCTCAAAGTACTTAAATTGTTCTGAAAATTCTGCCATTCTATTGAACCAATTCGATGATAGCTTACTCCAGTCCATAACCCACAATTGCTTAATTGTGTTGGATGCCGATAACTAGGTTAAGAGATTTTTTATTATAACTTTATATTTTGGCTTCTCTTCAAACTATAACTTATCGCAATATTTTATGAGAAATTTTATTGCGCCTACAATAATATTTATTAAAGATTAATCTCTTACAAGTTTGACTCTTCATTTTAATTAGACTATGAAAATCCTGCTTAGCCTTTGTCACTTAATCAAAAGACATCTTTTTTATTTTTCCGTCTCTTTATTTTATAACCCATGGAAGCTAACCATCTTTTAAATAGAGTAGCAAATAAAATATTGACAAGAGATCATCTTTTCTAGAAGGACCTAATTCAATAATTTAACCAAAGTAATTATAGATATTTATTACTTACTGTGGCCAAGCATTTAATAAAGACTGCTAAAAACAAAATTACCTTTGAATGTAGATTATCTTTCATTTTAAACATGCCTCCCATTTTCACTAAGATAACTCTCAGATGCACTAAAGTCAATTAAACTTATTAACGATGATTCTGGAGATGAATAATCAAAGCTTCGTAGTAAAATGTTATCTGGCTTCAAATCTCTGTGGACAAACCCTATTTTATGGAGCTGCCTAATTATGCTAACCTAGAATATAAATAAAACATGCTAAAATATATCTTACCAGTTAAATGCCTAGTTAGAGAATTGTTTGAGTAGACATTCGTTGTTTTGAATGCTGTAATATTTTATTCAAGGAGGGTCCTAAAACTTCTATAGCTAGATAACCTCTTCTAAAATTGTCTATACCAGAACTGAGGAATCTTGGAAATCCTATAAAAGCAGATAGGTTAATAGTTAAATCTAATACCAATAGACTCTGTCCTATGAAGGAGTTTGTAAACCTTTTCTTCAATTCGAAAATCTTCGCAAAAATTCTCCTAGATTATGTGAGAACAATTAATGTTACTATCTTGACTGCACATTTCTAATGAGTGCTTTAATCAATTGCTAACCAAACTGAACCTGATGATCCTTAACCTATTTCTTTAACTAATTGAAATTAGTTCTCTATCATCATATAATTAATAATATTATATTATTTCGAAAATACGATGACTAATTAATTAGTTGACAGCAACTCAACTAAGAAAAATCATAATATCACGATAAAACTTTTTTAATTTATTCACTTATATTCTGTTTTATTTATATTAATCAAATATCTGAATCAAGGGGTTTTGGGGTTTTGGGG